CCGCCACTTTCCAATCTCTTGGCAACTACCATCACTATCATTTGGATACACTCAAGTTGTGTTTGTTTGTGTCCGTTGTAATTTTCCCTTTCAAGTGTGGTAGTTGTAACCTCCTACTTACTTTCAATAATATATATTTTTTTTTTCTTGTGGTTTGGGTTAACTCTAGTATCAATAATGCCCTGAACAATTAGTGATACATTTATGTTTTAATTAATAACACCTACTTATTTTGAGGCGACGATAAGAAATTTTCAATCAATTAGAAATTTGACCAATAATGTCAAATTAAATTTTCACTCAGTCATATAATCAAGATCATAGTTAGAACCTGAAACCAATATAAATGGATGACAAATGATAGCATATGATCTAACCTACTCAAACCTGATTATATTATGCTTTTAGTGAAAGCATCGAGAATTTTGTTCAACCCATTTTGATATATGTTAGTCCAAACTAAAACTAGTTTATAATTATTTATTGAATTAGAAACCATATCATAAATTTTCTTATTCTACTTATCAATGAACACAGAAAAATTTCTCATATAAAAAGTGATATATCACATAATAAATCTAATTCTAATGATTTAAAATACAATATTTCTATCAATAAAATAATTTATAAACAAGATGGTTACAATAAAATTAACTCTAGTTTGGGTTAGTCATACCTAATTTGGATAAGGAAGAAAGGGGAACAAGTGCAAAGAAACTCACTGTTGCAATTTTGTATTCGATGAAGGATATCAGCGGCCGATAAGAAGAGCATAGAAAAGGAGAAGGTTGCTGCTTCCTTGAAGCAATTTAGCAGTGCGGAGGAGAAGAGAGGGATTGTTGACTATGGTTTTGGAAGGGGAAGAGGGTAGGAGGGAAGGAGGGGTTACAAAGATTGTTAGGGAAGGGGCTAACCGCTGAATTGCAATGCCATGGGCATGCTTTCTTAAATCTGGAAGGTGGTACGGAAGGCAATCTAGTGAGTGAGAAGAGAGTTTTGTTCGTGCTAGTTGGATTTGGTTAAGGAGTGAAGAGTGCGCACAGTCTAATTAGTCAATGGAGATCGCACCAGTCGCACGATCAGGAAGGCAATGCGAGGCTGGGTCAATTTGCTGCAATATATTGGTGCCTTTGACTAGCTAAAGTAGTATACACAAATGCACTTGCCACGTAAGTAATTTAAAAATGAATGAGATATCATCATCACAAAGATCATTAGTAAGCTTTAGATATGTTAACTACTAATACTTGTTACTCAGTTTTATTGAAAGATTTCAAAAGAAAAAGCAAATCTAAAATCTAAATATTACTGGCATGAGAATTATCAAGTAAAGACGTCACCCTAGATTTATGATACACTTATACTAATTATTTGTAATTATTCAAAATTACAATTTCAAAATTATAATTTTGAAATGTCAATCAAGAATACATTATTCTTTTAATCCTCGTCAATAATTAGATGATATTACTATTTATATCTATACAAATTGAAATTATCAATTGGATTAAGAAAAGTTCTTCGTTTACTGCAAATTTCTAAGTATGTACATGTCTATCTTATTCAATAATCTGTCAAATTACTTGTAGTTGATCTTCTGTGACTCTGTCAATATCTATAGATAATATTAATTTTAGAAAAAGCTTTTACCCAGGAAGGGAATTGAATGAAGAATGAACTATTTTAAACTATTTATTGCTTTCCATTCAAACAGGTCCAAGGAGACGTGAAAAAATGCATAAGTAATCACAAACTCAGAGTTTATGCAACAAGCTCATAATATTAAAACGAAGAACACAAAAATAAGGATTCATTACTTCAGAGAATAGAAATTAAGTATAAAAGTTTGAATGCTTGAACTCGATAATAGTGATAAATCTGCTTCCTGAATTATTCGCTTTCTGCTCTCACTTGTTTTCTTTTTCCAAGCTCTCTTTCTCTCCCTCACTCTACTTACACTTCACTACTCTCAAAACAAGAAATAAGCCTCCACAAACTCTTTAATCCCAGCATGGTACCCGGTTCGTAACTCTCGTAACTACCTATGTAACATCCCTGAGTTGGTTTTCTAACTGCCCCAAAGCTGAATTTGTTGGGTCATCGCAATGCTGAGTCTGTAGCGCACCTAGGTCCTGAGCTCTCTATTTTCTTGTCTTACTGCTGCTGGTTCTGGCATGTCAATGTCAACTTGAAGGTATCTGTCATCTTGATTGATTTTTGCTTCTTTTGCGCCAAAGCACTTTAAGATGTTGTACTTTGGCACTTTTGGAGCTTGCAACGGCTTCGTACTTATCCTGAGAATAATGATTTATGTTTCATTTTTCTTTTCCTTTTTGTTTGTTTCAAAAAAGATCTTGATCAATTCCGATTCTTTCTTTTCCTATTGATTTTTTTCCAATGAAGATGTATGAATCCATGAATCTATGTGTCTATATGAGAAGGAAAGTAAATATATTCATTTTATATGATAACAAGCTAAAAAATAAAATAAAAAAATATCGTTCTAAATGATCGAGACATTTCTGCTTACGGTCTGACATTTGCTTAACCTGAGGCTTCTTCATTACATTTCTCTTACTGCTTCCTTATCTGACATTTCCTTACCTTGCATTACATTTATCTCACTGCTTTCTTAGTGGGACTTTTGTCACCTGTGCAGAGGCCAGATCGAGAGCATCTGGCTCGAAGCGAACTGCTGGCGAGTTGCCCGTAATTTAAATCGAGCTGACACTATTTTTTCGCCAGCAATGTGGATCAACTCTTGCTCACGATTTTGGTGTTTTAAGCAAATATGCTAAATTTCTGTATAGGTGGTGTTGTAGAAGAGATATATTTTGGATTTTTGCTGTACCTGGCGTGTGTATATATATATATATATATATATATATATATACTTGGCGTTGAAGATTTGGATGTTTTGGAGATAGGTACAGTTGGGGTTTGGGGTTTTATTATAAGTTTTGTCCACGAGGAATTTATGTTCTGAGCATATGGTTTCAATCGTTTCAAGTGTTTTGTAATGGACTTTTTGTCGGGGCAGTAGTTTTGAATGATTTTAACTTGCTTCTTGACAATCACCCATGAAACTGAATATAAAAATCAGGTTTACACAGCTGTGGCGCCCTCAAACACATTAATGTCTGTTTGAGGCAGTAGTTGTCCTAAACAAATCCTTAATCAGAAAACTAAAGAAACTGGTCTGATTCCATTTGCCTTTGGATTATATTTGAGAAGAGCGGGCCTCAACTTGGATTGTAATTTTAATATATGGTTGGGTAATATAAGTATAAATGTTTATGCAAAATTTTATATTATAGGTATAAACGAGTTGAGCTGAGTTGAAGTTATTATTGGCTTGAGATCGAGCTTAGTTCTTCGTTTTAAGTTGGCTCATGAGCCTAACTGATTTTACAATTAATGTAATAAATTGCCAACAATAATGAGCAATAAGGGGAGAGATAATAAGTTAGTTGATAAGAAAATGCAAAATATAAATTTTAAATCTTTTAGTAATTTATGTTTAAATTCTTATTACATGTAATTTATTAATATTAAGAAAATGATATACATATTGTGAGTTTTTATTTTATTTTAATTCCAATTTAAACTCTTAAGCCATTCAATATTCATATAGAATCCAAGTGTCACATTTTGGTATAATATAAATTAGTCTAGCAAATGTGTAGGTGTTGTATATTTCTAAAGTTAATGGAGTTTAATTTGAACTACCAATCTTTGACAGAAAACAAATGAGATTTTCTTAGCACTTGTGACCAAGAACTTCTTATCAAATTAATTTAAATTTACACAAATTTTAAATTTAATTAAAATATCACTATTAGGCACTCTCTAAATATACTTTTTTCATTATTAATTTTATGAAATTAAAAGGTTATAAATATAGTTATTAAAATTTAGATATATTGAGGTAATGTAAATATGTAAATGACCTTTAAATGAGCGAATATTGCATGCGGATGCCACGCATGCTGATTAGTGGTATTTTGATAATATTGTGGTGGCATTACACTAAAATATCACTAAAATACCACAAATCTGGACATAAGCTGCACGCAATATATTTTTTTTCTATTTAAAATAACTCAATGGAACATTTACATACAAAGCATACAATTATTATGTATTTCCAAATCTCTCTTCTAAAATTTTATTTACCCACATAATACTTTAATCTTTAAGATCACACAAACAATAACACTATTATCATTTTTAATAGTGAAATATATATTTTCATGCATATATTTGAAGCACAAGTCTGCAAATTTGAATGCTTAGATGTGAGATATGCACATACATAAGAATTGTGTGCTAGGCATGTAAATTTCCCTAACAATCAATATTAAATTAAGGAATAGCATGCATTTAATTTCTATACATTTACATATCTAACACTTAAACTTCAATTTTTACAAATTACCCTATTTACATGAAAAAATGTATTTTTATGTGATATGAAAGTATCTAGTGGTATAAATGCAAAAAATAAAAAATCTGTTTATGGTAGCTGTAGTTTGTTGAATAATTTACTGATAAACTGATTAAAAATAATCTGCTAATAAGCTAGGTGCGATGATTATTAAAAAAAATTATTTTTTTAGAGAAGCCAGACCGCTTCCAGAAAGTTGTCAGACGCAGTGTGAAAATATTATTTTCGGCATTTTAAAAACGCGCATAAGCTGCCAAAACGTAGTTTACCCAAACAAGTCAGGTGCGTTTTCAAAATGCCACCGCACTAAATAATCTACCCCAAACGGACCCAAAAATTTCGGGGCAAGATATCTAAATACATTAAAATTTGGTGGTATATATTTGTGGCAGTATGTAAATACATAGAAGTTGGATACTTAATCGAATTTTCTACGTTATGGAAATTCATACGCATCGAAAACCCTAGCTACAGGTCTATATATATTGACACAATCAATCCCAATTCTCTATCTCTGCAGGGCGCAGCGGCTGCAAACTGGTCACGATGTCGAAACGAGGTAAGCTTTTCCTTCCACGCTTCCTTGACATGCTCATTTCTCCGATCCATCTCCTCGACCATTGGAGAGTATTATCTTCTTTTGATTCAATTATGAATGCTAACTTTGAATTTTATCTTTTTCACCGACGATTTCAGGACGCGGAGGTTCAGCGGGGAATAAGTTCCGGATGTCCCTGGGTCTTCCGGTGGCCGCCACCGTGAACTGTGCGGACAACACCGGCGCAAAGAATCTTTACATTATCTCTGTAAAGGGAATCAAGGGTCGCCTCAATCGCCTCCCATCTGCCTGCGTGGGGGACATGGTCATGGCCACCGTTAAGAAGGGTAAGCCGGATCTCAGGAAAAAGGTTATGCCCGCTGTCATCGTTCGCCAGCGTAAGCCTTGGCGCCGAAAGGATGGAGTCTACATGTACTTTGAGGGTAAACAACGTCCCTTTTATATTTTATTTTATTTTCTTATGCATCTGCAATTTGTTTTGATCCTAGATGACAGCGAGATTTTTCAGCTTTCTTGGCTGTTTTTCTTAATACCTATTTTTGGACAATGGGTAGTTGTCTTTTGATTTTTTTCTTAACTTGTTTCCTTTTGCCTCCGTCATGGTATTATTAGGCAATGTATGGGATCTGAAGGGGGGAGTTTAGAACAAAGGAAGAAGTGTGCGGTTAGAAGATCATTATTGCCCTTGTTCAGATGCAGTTGATTGTTTTTACAGTCTTTCCTTTTTACGTAATGATGAATTGTTTATCATTTAGGGTTTATATCAATTTATTGTGACGGAGGAGAACTTCTTTGGGTGAAGTTTTCCCTACTTGTTGGGGCAAACCTGTTATGTTTGTATATTCCTCAGTAATCGTCACAAAGAGAGCTCTAGAGGTTGATGGATCGTAAGTTCCTCCTTCTTGGAGCGGTCTCATATTCCATCGCCTTAGGGAGCAGCATCGCTGCTATTACCTTTTGGGACTGGCCATGAGACAAATATTTAATTTTGAAATGTTTTAACCTTTTGTATAACTGTTATATTCCTCGGTAAACATCACAGAGAGCTCTAGAAGTTGATGGATCTTAAGTTTCTCTTTCTTGGTGTGGCCTCATATTCCATAAACTTAGGGAGCGGCATCGCTGATATTACCTTTTCGAACTAGCCTTGGGACAAACATTTAATTTTGAATTGTTTAACCTTGTTGTATAGTAACTGCACTATAATTTTTCTTATGTATTCTTACTATTTTCTTTTGTTTTTTTCATCCTGGAAGGATTTTACGATAATAAGGGTACGTTACTCTTCTAAATTTGCTTGGAAATTATGATGGCTAAGTTGCGTTGGGAAATTTGATTAAATTAATCTTTCCTAAATCTGATACCTTATTTGCTTTTGCTGAATTGAAGGTCTTTTAAAAATTTCATAATATGTATAATTAGAAATTGTATTAGATCTTACTGAGGGAAGTTTAAAACAAGGTAAGAAATCAGCAGATAAGAAATCATTGTTGCACTTGTTCAAATTCATTTGGTTATGAAAAAGAAAAGGCTCCATTTTTCAGATTGAGTGTTTCTAGCCTGAGAATTATTTTTTTTGCTTGATATTCACGAAATTAAGATCTAGAATTATGGAGGTCTAACTGGACATATACAGGAGGATATCATCAGGGATCGGGTTTAAGCCATATCTTTTTGCTTTAGTTATGGATGGTCTTATTGGACATATACAGGAGGATGTACCTTGGTGTATGCTTTTTGCTGATGATATCCTTCTTGTGGATAAAATGAGAGAGAAAGCCTAGGAAAAACTTGAATTATGGAGTCTATAGGCCTTCGTTTAAGTAGAACTAAAATTGAATACATGGAATGTAATTTTAGTAGTAATAGCTCTAGTGACAGAAGTGTGACTTTGGGTGATCAAATTATTAAAAGGTGTGAACGATTTAGATATCTTGGGTCCGTTGTCCAAAGCGATGGTGATATAGATGGGGATGTTAATAGTAGAATTCAAGTTGGTTGGTTGAAGTGGAGGAATGCTTAGGGCCTTTTGTGTGATAGAAAAGTACCGCTAAGACTGAAAGGAAAATTTTATAAGATGGTGGTGAGACCTGCAATGCTCTATGGCGCTGAATGTTGGCCTTTAAAAGAGAAGCATAATAATAAGTTAAGTGTTGCCGAGATAAGAATGATTAGGTGGATGAGTGGCTTTACACTTAGAGACAAAATGCGGAATGAATATATTCATGATAGGGTTGGTGTAGCTCCTGTGACAGACAAAATTAGAGAAAGTCGTCTTAGATGGTTTGGTCATATTAAACGTCGACCATTAGATGATCCGATTAGGAGAGTAGATGCTTTAAATTCGACTTGTGTTAAGAAAGGCAGAGGTAGACCTAGGAAGACTTGGGCTTATTGTATTAAAAATGATCTTAATTTACCAGAACTAAATGAAAATATGACACTAAATAGGA